CCGGCCCCAATTGAAAAAAGGCTAAAAAAAAAAAAAAAAAGCACGTACATTTTTCCACACATCTGGATTTTTTTCCACATCATCTGGAAGCGATTCAAACTTCTCAGGAAATAGTTCAGACAGGTGAATTAGGTCTTCCCAGCCTTGATCTGGAAGCCAAGCACATGGTTTCTTTCGTGCACTCTTCTCCAGGGAAATATTGCCTAGTCACATTGAGAAAACAGAGTAAATGTTCATGTCATGAAACTTCCACTACATGACCACACAGACAGGCCCACTGCACAGAAGGAACCGCTCAGAAATTTGTTCCTGGAAGCACAGTAAGGTAAAGTTTTTAGCTGAAGAAAAGAGGACACTGCCAGCAAAAGCCAAAATTGTATTTTTACAACCTTTTCTAAAACCATTCAGAAAATCAGTAAGGAGTATTTTCAGAGGTAACATCCTAATTGTTCACAGCTAATGGGAGATTTGTCAACACAGGCAGTGAAAGATTAGTCGCTTCATGGTTCAACAAAGAGAGAACAAATGCAAATAGCAAAATCTGCCATTTCTGTAAGCCAATACAACTCAGCTACCTTCAGTACGTTTCTCTAAATGGTTTTTCTTACAGGTTTCTCTTAGACAACATCTAATCTAAATCTACCTTCAAAAGATCTTTCAGCTATATCTGAATAGAACTATAAATTCATATACAGATATTCAAGGTACCTTTTAAAAAGAAGTCAAGTTCTTCTTGGGGAACTCTGCCATCAGCCTGTTCTATCTTGACAGTCATATTAAAGGAGAAGAGTAACTTGTGCTTCTCAAACAAGCCTACATTAAAAGGACAACATTTTTTAAAAAATCTGCTGATAAAATGCAGAACTAGAACTAGATTTTAAAACCAGACCCAAAACCTGCATCTAGATCCCCCCACAAAGATCAGGTTGATCAAAGACAGGGTTTTGGATCAAGCCTTACAGAAGGATGGGTCAACAAGAACTCTGGAGTGTAAGTGGCATCTGAGAGCAATATCCAGGGATGTGAGATCCACTGCTAGGATTTGCTGCTTGAAACTGATACTGAGTTGCCTTTAACAAGCATTTGCCCAACACAGCCCATCACCAAACCACACCGACCTGTACAGCCGTAGTTATAGATGTTGAAAGTTAATGTATCCATGATGTTTTTTAACCTCTTCTGAAGAATAGAACTAGGCATGGATTTCCGAAGAGAGAGTCCAAAAACCTCTAAGAAGGAGACTAACGAGTACTGATACATGATGTTGACAAGCGCCATTTCGGACAAAACGAAGAATAAAATGGCTCCCCTCTTGGCAGCTGGTCTGTAGCCATCCCGAAGCTGATCAATATCCACCGCTGTCTTCTCAGCCAGGTTGAGTTTTTCAGTCACCTAGTCAGACACGGGGTGTCATTGCTCTTATCCACAGGTAATTGCTGCACTGATCCATGGCACAGATATTACATAACAATAAACAGAGCTGTTCTATTGCTAAGCACATTGAAACGACAATTGTGAACATTTAGGTTTTAAAATGACTGCAAGTAACAACACACATTAAAATTCTATGAAAATCAGGGTGCCTGTTACTAAGGACTAGTAATGTCCACATTTAAGAATATTTACTAAAAAAAAAA